AAAAAAAAAAAGGAAAAAAAAAAAAAAAAGCCTGGATTCTGGAGTCAGATACTTTGTTTAGATCCCAGCTGTTACACTTAAGCCATATGACCTTGAGAAAATTACTTAAGTCTTTTGCGCCTGTTTCCTTTTCTGTAAAAATATGGTGATAAGTAATAGCACCTGCCTGATGAGAGACAAATCCGAATGGCCCCGGAGGCACACCGTCTGTCCCCAGCTCCCTGCCTTCTAGACCTTTTAGTAACAAAGCGGACAGCTGAATCAGCTAGTTCGAGTAAGCTCAACAGAGGAACAGGACTCCAAAGGTTCCCCTCTTCTAACAAGGCCACTTCCCCAAGGAATCTTCCAGTGGTGGTAGTTGTACAAATATTCCCTGCCTCACCCCAATTTTATAAATATATATTGTACAACGGAGGCAGGGTTTCTCTCTGCTGGAACTCTGGCCATGATACATGCAGACTATCTATACCTGACCTATGATGGGAGATGAGGGGGATTGTGTGCACTCTACTACTACTCTTCTTATAAGCGTTTCCTTAATTATTTTATATCTACATCATGTTGTTCTACAGTGCTGTGTGTGCAGGACCTCGTCACAACATATTTCCTCATAGGGTTGTTGTAAGAACTAAATGAATTAATACTTGCAAAGTGTTTAGAATGGTACCTGGGATACAGCACTACATAAAGGTTAGTAATTTTTAAAAAAGGATAATCAGGAAAGAATAGCAGTGTTCTAGAATAAAATAAAGACGTATCAAGGAGGAGCCAGTAAAGTGTCAAATGCTGTAGAAAAATTGAACATATATAAGAATGAAAATAGGACACTGGGTGTGGCAATTAGGAATTTATATAGGGTAGTAAGGATGGAAAGGAGCCCTGGTGGTGCAGGGTTTAAGTGCTCGGCTATTAACCAAAAGGTCAGCAGTTTGAACCCACCCTCAGCTCTGTGGGAGAAAGATACGGCAGTCTGATTCCATAAAGATTTATAACCTTGGAAACTCTATTGGGCAGTTCTACTCTATCCTACAGGGTCACCATGAGTCAGAATCAACTCAGTGACAGCGGGTTTGGTTTGGTAAGGGTAGAAGTCAGATTGTATTAAGGAGTGAGTGGAAAGTGAAGGGTGAAACAGCGAGTATAAACTAGCTTTTCTAAGAAATGTGATGATAAAAGAAAAGACAAAGTATATTGGTTAGGGCTTTTTTTGTTTGCAAGTGACTGAAATCCAATTTGAACTAGTTTTTAAAAAAGGCTTATTATAAGAATATTGTGGTATCTCAGAATCCAAAGTCAATAATGTGTCTGGGTCTCAATAACATGTGAACCCAGGGATCATCAGGATTCTTTTTCTTGTTTCTCTCTGTGGTATTGTTTCATTTGTTTCTCTCTTTTCTGCAGAGTGTTGCACTGCTTCTTTGGTCCACGTGGCAGGAAACATGGTGTCAAGAGCCCTGGAGCCTTGTATTTTACAGTCCAGGCACCCAAAGAAACAGTGGAGATTTTTTTCCAGTTCCAAAATTCCTAAGAAAGAATTCTGACTCTGCTTGAATTAAGTGTCTAACTCTGGATGAATCAACTATAGCCAGGGATTATAGAGGTTAAAGGATTACACTGTAACATGGCTACTCCAACTGAAATTATGTGAATTCAGTAGGATATGAAAAAGATCAAACAAAATAATAAATATGATACAGGGAGACTGCATTTTCTTGAGGAGTGTGTGGTATATGGGTTTTTTTGGAGGGGTTTAGGCTACAGGAGAGATTTGAATATGTTTATATGAATGGGAGCAGTCAAAGGAATGGAGTTAAAGATACAGGAAAGCAGTGGGATGATTAATAGAATAAAAGTCTAGGGTACAATGGAAAGACCAGAATTTAGTGCACAAGTGGAAGGATTAGTCACTGAGAGAAATAGGCCTTTCTGAGACAAGAGGGAAGAAAGTATGAATACACACTGCCATAGGTAAATCTACAAAGAGGAAGGAAATTGAGGGAGATTGTACTTGATGATCTCCTATAAAGTATGTCTCTTGAGAGTGTGGGACATGTAAGTAAAGGGGGTGGCTAGAAACAATAATAAACGATTAATATACATGCAATGAGCAAGAGAGAGGAAGCTGAAATGAAGAAGATTAAAGTTTGTCAAGAACTGATAAAAATCCAGCTTAGATTTAAAAAAAATCCGCTGCTGTCAAGTTGATTCCAACTCGTAGTGACCCTATAGGACACAGCAGAACTGCCTCATAGGGTTTACAAGGAGCAGCTGGTGGATTCCAACTGCTGACCTTTTGGTTAGCAGCCAAGCTCTTAACCACTGCACAACCAGGGCTCCCCAACTCAGACTGGGAACTATAAATTTACAGATGTGCTAGGCATACATTGTGACTCTACTCAGTAATGCTAGTAATTCATGAACAAGAACTGACAAGGCCCATGACAGAAAGACAAGGGGCAAGGGAAATAACGGTACCGACTGAGAAGACCGAATCAGTACCTTAACTCTTAGGGTCAAGTCACTAGTAAGTAGCAGTCAAAGATAAACTTTATTCTGCCCCTGACAAATAATCATAAATCACGAATTAGTGTTGTTCAAAGTGGCACTGCCAAGAAATTAATGTCTTTAATGTTCAACTATCAGAAAAGATTAACTCCATATTGTTTTATAAGGATACATTTATATTAATTTATAAATAAAATATTTGGTTTAAAGACGTCAAATCCAATCTCTGGAGAGACTTTAAAAGTTGAGGCCTTAAATATGTCATCTTAACTTTGTTGCATTATTTTTATTCTACCATAGAGCTAACCCTACATAAATGGAGTCACTAACCCAAAGTCCATCTCTTGATATTTATAAAAAATCAATTTCTTTAGAACACACGTCTTGTTCTCATTGTGTTAAATGATTTTATCTGTAAACAGGAATAAAATGGTATCTACTTCACAGCACTGTTATCAGGATTAAATGAGCTAATAATAAAAAGTGCTTAGAATAGTGCCCGACAAATGGTAAGCATTCAACAAGTCAGCCATTATTAGTACAATTATGAACTTGTGGTAGAATGACTTCTAAATTCATATTACTAATTTTAAAAATGAAGTATTACTAGAAAATAAGCAAATAATAGGGTAAACTTTCTAAAATATAAATAACTCAAAGCACTTATGCATTTCAACAATGATTTTTAGATAAGAATAAAGGAAACAGTAAATTAAAATAAAAAATGACTAAAAGGAGTGAATTAATTTTCACTAAAAATACAATTAAGCTTTAGAATAAAGGACTTTCTTTAAAAATACTGAAATACAAAATTTATTCAAAAGCAATACAATAATAGCCTCTATGAAGTATGAGCTACATATAAGTAAACACAGCACAGTACCACAAATTCCACTGTTCATCATATGTACATCTTCTTTTAATTACAAATTTTCTCCCTGTAATAATGCAAAATAATAAATTAATACCTGAAATAATCTTACACTGACTTAGCATTAAGTCACTTTCTTTGAATTTTTGGTCTTTGCTTTCAAAGTTTAGACATAATTTTGGCTTTCCCACATAACAGTAACTTATCATTAAGAAGAATTCTGGTGGCACAGTGTTTAAGTGCTCAGCTGCCAACCAAAAGGTTGGTGGTCGAGAAAGATGTGGCAGTCTGCTTCCACAGAGATTTACAGCCTTGGAAACCTTACCGGGCAGTTCTACTCTGTCTTACAGGGTTCCTGTAAGTCAGAATTGACTTGACAGCAATGGGTTTTTATTACTAAAGAAAAGTAGGTTTTTTCTGTTCCTTTCCAACACTTGAATTTATGTCCATTATTGACCAAAAACAAATAAATACAAACAGGATTTTCAGGACATAGTATGATTCATTTACATTATATGAGTTTTCCTCTAAGTAAGAGAATAATATTCACTGGAGACAAATTATTACACCTTCTAATGCATGAAATACATACCTGAGTTAAACCAGCCCCTGTTAGCATAGAAGACTTTTTTAATAGTCGCACTTCTTTGTTTATGTATCTTAGCATTCCACTAAGAGTGCTAAAGTCATTACTCTCAGAACTATCATCTTCTAGGTTATACATGAGAGGATCAAATGAGTCTAACTGGTTAGAAGTCAGATCCTTCTGGCTTTCTTCTAATGTTGAAGACTGTTCTAACTGCATTTTCTTTAGGTCTTGTAGTAATTCTTCAGAAAGATCTTCATCAACATGAGTTTTGAAACTTAGGTCACTGGCGCTAATAGAGCGACGTAGTTTTTTACACTTGAAAAAAGGTGTATTGGAATGTTTAGCAAACTCTAGATCTTCAATGTCTGGCATAATTCCTGTTGGGACCGATAGAAACTTCATGTCTTCTGCCCTTTCACGTCCAGAAATTTTAGCTTGTAATCTGGTTAATTCTGATTCCTATAGAAAAATTGGGACATAGTAAGTGCTCAATACATTTTTGTTAAATGATTGAACTACTTATAAAATTATAGACTTTTGTAAGTTATCTAAATCAACCTTCTTCCAAGTATAGGAATTCTTTTTATAATGTTCTTGAGAGTTTTCCAAGGTCTGCTTAAATACTTTACTATTTAAGATGTTTCATTTTGGGACAATTACATGTGTTCATTTCAAGTATGTCTAGACTATGCTAAGAAATCCCATAAAAACTATATTTTCCTTAAAGGATAAAAAATTTTTTTTTAGTGTTAATAACATCAATTTCTATTCAAGAGTGAAATCTTATATCTAAAAAGTCCTCTGTAAAAGTACAGATGTACACTCTATCTTTAGTTAATCTCACGTGCACTTACACACAAAATGACTCCCTTCCGAATTTCTAATAGGAAATAAATGTATATTAGCTACCTCTGCTTTACATGTCATCAGAATAAAACTTTATTAAACTAGAAATTTTTCAAAGAAAAAGGTTTAATAAATTGATTATTAATAATATTTAATTTCTATTATTTTTCCAATCTTGAGTTTTCCCAACCTTGATATTGCATACACTGAAAAACCATAAAGCCTCAAAAAATGAAGAGACAACATTTTAATTGTAAAAGCTAATAATATAAGTGTTACAGTCTTCTGTTCATAAGATATATATTTCTAAATCAGTCACTACCATTAATCTGGTCGTTTTTTTTACTTTTAAGTGTGCTTTCTAAAAATACTCTGCTTATAATGAAAGCTGTCATAACTACAGTATGTATTACAAAATGAAACTGTAATATGTATATTTCATTTCTTTGATTTTTTATACTACTTTATCTAGATATGCTTTATTTATAAATGATTAGATAGAGTGCCAGTTTTCTGTAGTAAATCTTGCATTGACATTCTTATAATCACGATTAATCAAAGTAGCTCTAGAGTTCACACAGTATGGGGTTGTGTGCAGCTGGACTTTCTTACCCTTGTGCCTTATCTAGCCACGACTGAGAAATGTGGTATCTCAAGTAAGCAGAATTCCATTTAACTTACAGTTTAACACATAGCATTTACAATGAAATACAGTGTACTGAATACACTAAATATAATTCAACTTTTTCTTAAGACTCAAGAAAAGTCATTGCTGTGATCATTACCATACTGTACCATAACATAGTGATGCCTTCAGGGCTCTCAGGAAATGGTCTTAGTTTTGCCCTTGCCCCAGATGTCCTCAAACACTAGGGTTCTAACTAGCTGGAGTAATAGAGGAAGTGAGCTAGAAAGACAAGTTACTTCAAACTCTTCTTTTCTTCTCCCTCACTTCTGTTTCTGTTCTGTCATTTACAGCTGCTGTCATTGGAATTGCTTTCCATTATTTATAGCTACTTCTAATTGTTAGTTAAGTCTGCTGTCTGTTCTTCTAGTGGCTTTTTCCTTTCTTTCTCTTATTTGCCTTGCCTCCTCTTCAGTCTAGACTTTAGAGCCAGCTAGGGTTGACCGGAAAGCTACTGTTAGTCAACAAGGACTGTATACTAGCTAAGCATATTACATTATCTCTGCATCTTTGGCTCATTTAAGAATTGCTGCTATTTAGCCAGTACTGTGGCAGTTTCCTAAGTATTTGAACTTAAAAACTTCTGAATAACTGATAAATGTACTCCAGCAGGAATAACTACTTGGACAAGGGCTACAATGTAAAACTTTTTAATTTTTAGGGTAAATTCTTCACAGTGAGGCTTTCTAATTTTGTATCAATGTTGTAAATCCCCAGAACACTGGGTATATTAATGTTTCAGTAAAAGCATAAGTAGAATAAACCTAAACATAATTTTAGACTGTATCTGGCTTTCCTCTAATACTGTCAATATCAACTTTACTAGAAAAGGAATTTAAGTGTTCAGATTAGTAACTAGAAATATTTCTGAGATATTATTTAATTAACTCCCATTTTGCTATAAAATCAGTTGTTGCTTCACAAGCACCAGTGAGTTTATTTGTTCTTTTCTAATGTCTTGGCTGACAACTTTACCATATATATTAGCAGTTTCAAACCAATGTTGCATTTTTAATCTCAATACTGGTATTAATTCAAAATTCTAGAGAAAACGGCCATGATCAACAGGAGTGAATAAATAGCAATATCAAAAAACAAACAAAAAAAGAAAAACCAAACCCACTGCCACTGAGCCGATTCCAACCCATAGTGACACTATAGGACAGAGTAGAACTGCCCAATAAGGTTTCCAAGGATCAGCTGGTGGATTCGAACTGCCAACCTTTTGGTTAGCAGCCAAGCTCTTAACTACTATGCCACCAGGGCTTAAGTAGCAATGAGCTACATAAAAAAAAGATGTCTATACTCAAATCATAGCAACAATTGTGAGGATGGCACAAGACCAGGCACTGTTTCGTTCTGTTGTACATAGAGTCACTATGAGTTGGAATCGACTCCAAAGCACCTAACAAAAACCACATATGCAAATTCAGTTAAAAAAAAAAAATTCTGAATATAATTTTGCAATTCCTACTTTATGATTTTTACAGGAACTTTACTGATTTTGAAAAATGCTTCTACTTTTTAGGTACGTCAAGTATAAAACTGTCTGAGGTAAACATTATAGATTGATGAGTTTATATGTCAACATTTATAGATTATTATAGATTATTTCTCCTGTGGTAATACGATGTACATCATCTTAATAATTCCCAAATGCAATGTCTACTAAATGAAGTGCTTTTTATTCAAACAGGTCAATAGGTGGTCATATCCAAACCAAACCCACTGCCATCCAGTCAACTTTCGACTCATAGCGACCCTACAGGATAGAGCAGAACCACCTAATAGGGTTTCCAAGGCTATAGTCTTTACAGAAGTAAACTGGGATTCAAACTGCCAATCTTTCAGTTAGCAGCCAAGCACTTTCCTCTACAAACAAGGACAGGAAAAATAAGTCATAAATTTACTTTTTCATCTATTTGCTTCATGTACTTGTATATATTCACTTACTTTAATAAGTAATGCTTCATTTGCAGCTTCAATCACTTCATTCCTGTCTTGAACTTGTTGATGCAAATTGCTTACAGTGTCCTGAGCATCTTCTAATTCCAGTTTTGCCTTCTCTAATTGTTCATTTAATTGCTGAACAGAAGTTTTTTGAGAGTCAGCAGACATCTTCCATTTTGCATGGTTCTCTTGATGTGAAAGCATCTATATAGGCCCAAAATTAGAAAAGGAAACAAAGAAAATAGGGGGGAGTTGGTTTCAACAACATCCTAAGACCTTTCGCTTCCATTTATTTTTCTTCAAAGAAAGTAATTCTGTTTATAGTTATAAACATTTCATTTCTCAACAAATAAAATATAGGAGAAAACAAGGGAAGAGGGAAACTACCGTCTTAAATTTACGTACAAACAGTTAACCAAATGCAATGGACTCTATTTGGATCCAGATTTGAACAAACCATTTATAAAGATTTTTGAGACAATTGGGGAAAATTAAATAACTGTTGGATATTTGGTGATATTAAGGAATTACTGGCAATTTTTAGACGTGATAATGGTATTGTGTTTACATTTTTAAAAATTGCCCTTATCTTTTAGAGATACTTACTGAATTGTTTAAAGATGAAATAATTATATCTGGGGTTTCCTTCAAAATAATACATGGAAATGGGGGAGGGGTTGAAGGGATGTGGATGAGGTTAAAGATATGGTGCCCCTACTTCCCAGTTTGCCTAGGAATTCTGGGCTTTAGACCTGGTGTCCTGGTATAATTATTAACTGAATTGCTTTTCATTCTCAGAAGCACTCCCTTTTATTTATTTATTTATTATTTTATTGTACTTCAGGTGAAGGCTTACAGAACAAATAGTTTCTCATGAAACAGTAGTACACACGTTGTTTTATTTATTTATTCTTTTTTTTTATATTTTATTGTACTCCAGGTGAAGGCTTACAGAACAAATAGCTTCTCAGGAAACAGTAGTACACACGTTGTTTTATGACATGGGTTAACAACCCCACAACATATTAACCCTCTAACTTCTCAACCTTTTTTTTTTGGTGAAAATACACATAGCCAAAGATACACCATTTCAAAAATTTCTACATGC